TTAAGTTCTAAGCGATTCTTCAACGCGGCGTCTATTTTGATATGAGTTTATTTACCATTTCTAATCGATTTTTCGGTCGCGAGAAAATTAAAAAATAAAACAACTGAAGAGGATATAAAATTGGTTTTTTCGTACCCTGGAACTTCTAGCATACTTGGAAGTTATTGGCAATGGCTCTGACCCAGATCCGAATGTCGCAATTTACCTGATAAGCCAGAAGTGACTGGTTTCAGCAACAGGTGACAGTTTGGTCCGAAACGCAATGCGTGCAAATTTACTGTACTTTCTTATATCACCCAACGGAGTTTTGCCACTGGGAAGGCCGCCAACAGATTCCGGCCTATAATGTCTTCACGAGGGTTGCAAACATGTACAATTAAGTCCGCTTTTCACCTTCAAAGCGAAGCTCCAAACAACTGGTTGAAAACATTCACTCATCATGTACCACTAACGCCGTCACCATCGGCCTACCAGAATCAATGGTTAGCTACTTGAAAGTTTAACTGTCACCCGTGCGTGAGTGATGCTATCTTACGACTTTGCATGAAGTACTAGTCTAAGAAAATATTTCTGTATCACGCAAAACGTTCAACATCAACTTCCAACCGGAAACAACCATAACAAATTAATAACAAAACTAAACGGCAACAGTGCCTAACTCTAATCAAAAGAATAACAACGTCGCACGACAAAGGTCTGAGAAACTGAATCCATCTATCGAGTTTTCAGTGACCCTTTCGAAAAACTTAAACAAAAAAGCAAACAAAAACAGAAACTCAACAAAAGAAAATAAATCAATATCACAGGGAATTTAGACCTACGGATTGGCAATGCCGCTGCCGTTGTTACTTGTGTGGTCAGCCTTCAGTGGAGAAATGGTAACACTTCCTTGTTTACATTTCAGTAACGCTGCTCGCAGCTGTTTATTTTCGTCGATAAGGTTTGTTACCTTGACACGTAGCTCCTTAACTTCATTCCTTAAAGCGTCTATAGTAGGCTGACCTAAAACAAGTACGAAAATAGGAATGAGATATCGAAATAAGTTACCGGCATGAGAATGGCCCAGCCTTTCGGAAATGAATTTCAAAGCGTCGTCCGGCCGCTCTCCTTTAGTGAACATCTCCGCTAAAGCATTTGTCAGTGCTTCCATTACCCCCGTGTGTTCCAAATAACTTCGGTACTCTTCTCGCTGGCTGCCAGTGGCACGAATTGGGGGAGTGGCCATCTGAGAAACGAAGACGCTAGAAAAGTTTAAAATGACAGTAAAGACGTAACAAGCTTTTATACAAATGAATTTCGACTGAGTTAAACAGCAGGCAGCATTAATGTTGCTGCATTTTACTGTCGGACTAACGAATTCGAGATCGTCATTGGTCATTGGCAACAGTCCTAAAGTATAATACACGTTCATCATGTTTGCCTATGATTCTTTACCTCTGATGAAAAAATATGAAGAAATGGTATGGACAATAACTCCAAAAAATCGTGTAATGACGCCAGCCAAAACTGTAAACTGTCGTCATCGCTCTGAATTAAGGAAGACACGTCATTGACACTGTAAATTCAGATACCTCTGTGGAGCATCGTTCAATCCTCCTTTTTACCTGATGCTTAGGAGGAAATCATAGCCAGGCTTAAACTAAAAACACACTGGAGGACAACTTGAGCCTTTTCGTACTTCTGCTGTTATCATTATTTAATTTATGGCGTAGGCACTCAGTGACAAGATGGTTCATGATATGAATGTTTGCCTCACATACATATTAATGAAACTACTGCACAGTTTATTTGCGTATACAATGGTACCTCGAGTCACGAATAACTCAACCCATGAACACAATTTCCGAACAAACTTCGACTCGACCTGCGTACAATGCTTCGACGCACGTATGCACAAACATAACTTTGGGGTAAGCGGACAAAAGCCTCCCGTGAACAAAAACAAACTTTGACTCGATCCGCGCACAGTGCCTCGGCGCACGAACGCCTAAACATGACTTTGGAGTAACCGGACAAAACCCCTCGTGGACAAAAATTGCCCATGGACGATAACCGCCCGAACCGGTCAAAATCTGTTCGGAAATTGTGTTCCTAGGCCGAGTTGTTCGTGATTAGAAGCGTTGGTTACCAGTGGTACCAGTGTATATATAAAATATTTTTTTATGCATTAAATTAACCTTCATTAAAGCACCCCAAAAAATGAAAAGTGTTAGTGACAGTGGTGTAACGAAGCCTAAAGGTATTGCAGCTGAAACGAAGAAGGAAATAATAAGTAAACACGAGAATGGTGTTCGTGTTTCTGATCTCGCCAAATAGTACGACATGGCTAAATCTACGATCTGTACTATCTTAAAGAAAGATGCGCTAAGGACGGTTGATGTGGCTAAAGGAGTGACTATGTTATCGAAGAAAAGATCTCGTGTTAGAAGTAGAAAAATTATTGTTAGTTTGGATTAATGAAAAGCAGCTTGCTGAAGACAGTGTTAGCGAGGCCCTAATGTGCCAGAAGGCTCTACTTTTGCACGACGATTTAATAGCGAAAACGCCGAATACAAGTGATGCTAGCGTTGTCGAATTTAAAGCAAGTAGAGGCTGG